TGTATGACAAATTAATTTAGAGTGTCTTATCAAATATTTGTAATTGTTTTAACTTCAACTGAACTCCTTTTAACTCTTAAAAGTTTTATTTATAATTAAATAATAAAATTAAATTTTTGTTAAAATAAAGCTTGAAAATAAATAGAAAATTTTATTTTGTTATTTGTTTTCTGTCTTGATGCTTAGTTCGTCAGATGAACCTTTTATTTGACATTAATGTAAATGATTAGAAAATTATGAATATCTCGATGTTATCGTTCAGAAAAAATCGATTTCGTGACTAAAGAATTCATCTCCAAAGAAAGAAAGAAAGAAATCAGCAATAGCATAGATATCTGTTAAAGCCGCCTGTTCTGGTGTCCGACAAGGTTCTATTTCCATAAAACAATTGTATAATAATATGCTTCTCGCACTTCTTTATTGTCAAGAATAGCTTTAACATCGATGCGATCAAATTGATCAGAGTAGAGCTCTACTTCTTCTGCAAAAACGCACATTAGTACATTCATAACAGCGATCAACGTGATACAGCTGAGCCGAACCATTATTTCCACAATTATGATATTTAAAATATTGGATTGCCAATGAATTGTACATGTTATTTATATAAATGTTACTTGATAAAAAAAAATAACCTAATGTAGAATATATGCAAGATGCATGTATTAAAAATAAACTTAGCATATAAATTAGAGAATATTAAAAAGTACAACTTGGGAAAAAAAGTTCCATATATAATTATATATAATTATATACAAAATATGTCCATATATGTTTCTTTTCTTTGTAAAATTATTCTTTAATACAAAATTGATAATAATAAGAAGGAAAAGTAAAAAATAATTAAAAGAATAATTTTTACATTGTCTTTTTTACAAAAAATGAAGTTTGAAGAAATGAGAAAAATTGCTCATATATAATCATATATAAGTAATTAAAAATATACATATATAATTATTTATGAACAATTTTTATCATTTCTTCAAACTTGATTTTTTGTAAAAAAACAATATAAAAATTATTCTTTTAATTATTTTTTATGTTTCCTTCTTATTATTATCAATTTTGTATTAAAGAATAACTTTACAAATGAAAGAAATATATATGAACATATTTTGCATGTATATATATATGTAAAATTATATATGGATCTTTCTTTCCCGGGAAATTATATGTTTTACAAAATTAATGTACACTGCGCGTGTACGTTGCATTAATGTTTAAGGTTTAACGTATGCAAATATTATGTATGTAAATTTTGTGAATACGAGATGTCTGTAAGTTCCTGCTCCTTTTAAGCTCCTTTTAATAACAGACCTAGTTAATTTGAAAATAATTTTTTTTACCAAAAGTGTCAATAAGTTTTGAATTATGAGCAATGAAAAAAGAAGTCTTCATTTATTAAACTTCAAAAGGCTCAATTATTCTTACTGCACTATAATTACTTAATAATTAAAATACAATAAAATAATTACCTTTTGTAAAAATAACCTTATACTAGTGCAGTGAAGACACTACTGATATATAGTAATGTCATTGCTATACCACTGCAGTGCCACTATTTCATTTCAATAGTGTTTTCACAAACATTAGTAGTTAATTTTTACGAGGGACATATTTATTTAATAATTATAATTTGAATAAGACCGCCTACGTGAATGATACAACTAATTTCGAGAGCGCCTTTTCGCGATCACGGCTGGATCTTATTGTTAGATGCCTATAATAAATTCTATATGAATTTTTCTGAAATCCTTGTACAGCATATTTATTTAAATTTATTAATGCCTTATGTTTTCGGAATCTTTAAGATTTTATTTCTTAGAATTTTTATTATTTTACTAGGATTTTTCGCTACGTATTTTAAATCAGATTTATTACTATATTTAAATATTAATGCATTTTACACGAAAAAATGATTTTAGACGTGAGCTATTACTACCAAAAAACTTTGTATGCTCATGCAATGCGCAATTGTTGCAATAAATTTTGAATAAGCATAAAAAAAAACTGATTAAAAATTATACACTGATGTATTTCTTTCTTGTTTCCTTTTGAAGCAACGAATGTCTAAAATAATATTTTTATACATATATATGTGTGTACTATATGTATATAATATATCAGTTAAAAAATTAACTGTACATATAATAAGTATAAACAATTATTTTCGTATTCATAAACCTTTTGTTTCTTTGAATTTAATTTTTATTGATACCACTTTCTCTTCAATATTCAAACAATTTAAAAATTTAGACATTTCAAATGCTTAATGCTGCTTTATCGGATCAATTCTTGAATATTTTTTCTTCACTATTTTGCATATTAAATTCTTATGTTTTCTTTTTTCAATTTTCTTTTTCTGATTAAATCCGTCAATCCGTTATCGATGCATCATTGTTACATATGGGGACACGTACGCAATTAAAAAATATTTTTTTGTTTAATTATTTTTCAAATTATCCTTTAAAATCAAAGCTTTCATCTGCGTAATCTGTTAACTATTTAATAAAACATATTTGTTGTTAAATCATGAAAAAGTTTTTCTTTTGTAAATAAGCGACAACAAATTGCGTTTCGCTTTCGCACTGTGAGCATTATTTATCCTTGTTTAATATTTGATAAACAACCAGAATAAAATAATGAAATGAAAATGGCGTTTTAAGCGCTAAAAACGTGAATAGCTTAAATATTCTTACCTGCGTTTGATAACATAGAAATCTTCATAACAGTTTGTAAAAGTGAGTCGGTAATGCAAAAATCAACGTCAACGCTACACAGTTATTTTCAAGATTGCTACAAAACGGAGTCGCTTATTAGATACCGTCTGCACATAAAATAACTTGTAAACGTTCCACTTAATTGATAAAACAAATTACAGTAAGTTTAGACAATCATTCTTAAATTATATAGAAAAGGACATATGTATACTATGATAAAATCGATAGTAATATATGTATAAGATACATACTATACATTCATACATGGAGGTTGTTAGACGTGTATTACATCCGTTGGTATTAATTTAATATAAGTTTTGTATAAATTGTGCACTTTTATTTTTTCCATCAATTGGTAATAATTTAACATTTTTAAATTTTTTTAAACCGGAGTTTTTGTTTTTAAGTTGTATAATATGCATAATATCAATGCATATACGTGTGAATTTAAAGTCTGTCATTTTGCTATTTTTATCTGTACACTTCTTATTTATTCTTAGCTTATAATGTCATATAAAGAATCAACACAAATAAATAAGAATTCACTTCCCAGATAGCACAGAGAATGAAAAAAGAACTCAGTTATATGTCACTAATTCTGAGTTCATTTTCAGATGCAAAACGAATTCTTTTTCTAAAAGGGATTCTTTTTGCACCTGAAAATAAACTCAAAATTGATGACATAAACTGAATATACTAATGAATTCTTTTGGGCTCTGTGTGCTATCTGGGTCCTACTTTAATAATTGCTTTATTTTTATAAAGATAAAAGATAAGATATTATAAAGATAAAAGAATAAAGATAAAAAAATCACTATAATATATTATTCTACTTCGCGTGTCATATACTTGTCAGCATGTAGGCTATCTCTTATACATGCATCCGTAGATATAGTCCGGGAGGCAACTGGCATTTTTTCACCAAACTTACTTTATGAATTTTATTGTTATACTGAAGTACACGATTGTTGAAATGTCGATCTGGCAGTGTTGCTGCGCGACGAGGCAAGACGGTACTCCCACAACTTTGTAAAAAAAAGCAATGCACTCACGTTGTAGTACCAAGGCTAGAACTTTTTTTTATTAATTATTGATTTTATTAAAAATGATATAATCACAGTCTGGCAGCGGTCCGTCAGGACGTGACGTGATGGCAGGCCCTCAACTTTGTAAAAAAAATAATGCTCTAACGTCAAAGTACCAAAGCTGAAATTTTGTGTAATGACAATTAATAGTAATGTAAGAATGTCAATTACGGTCAAAGCGGATCTTGATGTTTAAAAACATTCATTCGTAAATTTTACAATTTTCAATTCATGCAAACTGCGCGCCGAATATTGTCGGACGCCGCAGTCAGATCTCGCAAGTCTAAGCGACAAATCGAGCACGTAAGAGTGCGTTACCGAGCCATTCGCGACCCAGAGCAATAGCCCCAAGGCATTGTCGCAGATCGCGCACCAACTTAGAGAGACATTCCCCTAGGCGTTGTTGTGTGCCGCGGTCAACAGACCGACTTAGGGAATCACCTTAAAGCGTCATTAACATAAAGAATTGCGGGACAGATCACAATTCGCAAGAATCGCAAGGTGTAATTGCCACAAGCATTTTGACTTATATGAAATAAACAAGCAATACACAAAACTACAGTATGCATATTAATGTTATTCACGCTGATCCACGGAACATATAGGCTATTATTATATTCACATGGATAAAGTCTTAACTCTTATATTATTTCTTAAAAATTGTTGAATTGGAAATGGATACCAAGTTGTTAAATGTTTAAAATTTTAATTTGTAGCCAACACAAATCTAGGATGCGGACGTGAAAAACTGACAATAATTTATTTCAATTAAATGCGATGCAATAGGCTCTTTACAATATTCTTTTTTTTTAGAAAATAATTATTTCTCCATTACAAGTTATATTTTATTGCTATGCCGTATTATTTTTATACAACATACTTCTGTCAAAGTACAAGTTGCATGTTAATAAAGATAATTTTTCTATAAAATATTTCTTTTAACCTTTCATTAGATGATACTGTTTACAAGTTATTTGAGTTATTAGATTGTGAATCTACAAGTTATAACATCACGTTTACATCAATTAATAAAAAAAAACTTATAATTTAATAAAAAACCATCGATGTCGCGAAAATTCGCATGCGTCGGAAAATCCATTATCCATCTGTATTATCAGCAGTGTTTTGAGCAGCTTTCTTCTTCATAAGTTCTATGGTCTTCGCAACTATTAATTGCCATTTCTCGGGATCATTCTCTGTGAACCACTCAGCAATTAGATTTAGGTTTTCTTTTTGCTTTTCAGTACACTTCCTACAGTTAGTTTGGTAAGCATCGCCGAACACCGCTGGAACAAAGAAAATTATATTTTTTAATATTTGTTTATTCTACTTTACTTCTGATTAATAAGTGTACAGAATATAAATATGATAGAGAATTAAAACATAAAGAAATAATATATTCCATAAGTAATATTCTGAAAGATATACATGCTTCTTCAAAAATATGATCTTACCCAAAAAGAAAATGGATAACTAATTTGTATATATATTTCAAAAATCAATTATTTATTCAGAGATTAATTTTATTCAAAGTATAAAATGACTAAAACATCTAATTATCGAATGAATGATTCGCATACAGTTTTCTACTTCTGTTACATTATTTTTGTATGACAAATTAATTTAAAAATAAGTGTGTCTTATCAAATAGTCGTAATCGTTTTAACGTCTGCTGAACTCTTTTTAACTCTTAAAAGTTATATATATTTATAACTAAACAATAAAATTAAATTTTTGTTAAAATAAAGCTTGAAAATAAATAGAAAATTTTATTTTGTTATTTGTTTTTTGTCTTGATGCTTAATTTGTCAGACAAACCTTTTATTTGACATTAATTTAAATGATTAGAAAATTATAAATATCTCAATGTTATCGTTAAGAAAAAATCAGTTTCGTGACTGAAGAATTCATCTCAAAAGAAAGAAAGAAAGAAATCAGCAATAATATAGATATATCTGTTAAAGCCACCTGTTCTGGTGTCTGGCACGGTGCTAGTTCCATAAAGCAATTGTAATATGCTTCTCGCATCTCTTTATTGTCGAGAGCAGCTTTAACATCGACGTAATCATATTGATCAGAGTATAAGAGCTCTACTTCTTCTGCAAGAACGCACATTAGTACATTCATAACAGCGATCAACGTGATATAGCTGAGCCGAGCCATTATTTCCACAATTATGATACTTGAGTTACTGAATTACCAATGAATTGTACATGTTATTTATATAAATGTTACTTGATAAAAAGAAATGACATGATGTAGAATGTATGCAAAATGTATATTAAAAATAAACTTGGTATATAAATTAGAGAATATTAAAAAGTGCAAATTATATGTTTTACAAGATTAATGTATACTACGCATGTACATTGCATTAATGTTTAAGATGTAATGTATGCAAATATTATGTATGTAAATTTTGTGAATACAAGATGTCTGTAACTTCCTGTTTTTAATAACAGACTTAGTTGATTTGAAAATGATTTTTTTTAGCAAAAGTGTCAATAAATTTTGAGTTATGAGCAATGAAAAATGAAGTCTTGACTTTCTAAACTTTAAACAGCTCAATTAATCTTATTGCACTATAATTACTTAATAATTAAAATGCAATAAAATAATTACATATTTATTTAAATTTATTAAAACCTTATGATTTCAGAATCTTTAAGACTTTACGTCTTAAAATTTTTATTATTTTACTAGGATTTTTCGTTACGTATTTTAAATCAGAATTATCATTGTGTTTAAATATTAATGCATTTTATACGAAAAAATGCTTCTAGACGTGAGCTATTACTACTTAAAAACTTTGTATGCCCATGCTTTGCGCAATTATTGCAATAAATTTTGAATAAGCATTAAAAAAGACTGATTAAAAATTATACTGACGTACTTCTTGCTTTTTTCTTTTTAAAACAACGAATCTAGTCTAAAATAATATTTGTATACATACATATGTGTATATTAGGGTGGACCTTATTTATACTTGGTGAAAAATTTTTTCCGAATTTGTTTCACGACGCCCTCTAAAGTTGTTCCATTTGGTGAGATAAAAAATTGTGTAAAAGCTGAGTTCGATCAGATAACGGAAAGACGTGGCACAATCCTATTAAAATTGAAACAAATATTTTTTTTACAAAAAATAGGGAAATCCGGTAAAAAGAATTCTGAATAAAGATTAAATAATTTTCTTAGTAAATATTGACCAATGATAGTATGTTTTTTTATAAATATAGTATATTTAAATCGTATTTTAACAAAATATATTGTATATATATATTATATATATACAATATATATATTACATATATTACATATATTATATATATCATATAATATTATATATATATATATTATATATATTATATATATATTATATATATTATATATGTGTATAATTATATACGAAATATATTTTTATATTTATAAGCAATCAGGAAAATAAAGATATCAATATATTGTTTACACCTATATATTTTACAATCCATTGTAATATTTAAATCTATTGTATTCATGTTAATTGTAATTTCATAAATCCTTAATAAGAGTAGATTTTGAACATTTGGATACTGAATTTTTTAATGTGACATATGATAAATGAATTGTTTTTTCTCTTTATTTCTCGATAAAATTTAATTAAAATTTGATCCTGCATAAACTCAACTTCTCGTTCTGCTGTGTCTTTTACAACTTTAAGCGTTTTCACAATTTCCATATCAATTTCATTGAACAAGCTGCAATTACTTTTTTTAGAAAGTTTAGGAGAAAAATGTTTTTTCGTCGACAGTTTTGAATTATAAAGTTTTCATGTACTAAATTTCAAAAATATAAATCATAAATCTATACTAAAATAAAATTTAAAAGAATTTTAAATTGAGAATTAATTGCATAATTCACTCAGGTGTTTTTTTCTTTTTCTCTCTTTCTCTGAAGCACATTACGGAAATATTGCCATTTAATATTTGCAAAAAACAAACTTGATATTTACAAAGTGTTCTAAGAATTAATTTAAAAACTTCAAGTTAGATATGCCACGTCTTCCCGTTGTCCGATA